TAATGACTTTTTTGTGTTGGATCTTCAACTTTGAAGCGAACTTCAGCTCCGGTAATACGTAGTCTCCATAATCTTTTACCATGTCTTTCAATAAAACCTTTAACTGCCTCTTCAATTTGTCTAGGTTCCAAGGCAAAGATAGGAATAAAATTAATAAAAAGATGATTACAGTCTGAATTTTTATATTCGGAGCTAATGATCTCAAGAGAATCCAAAATTTCATTTAAAAGTCTATCAGATTCAGAAATAAGATAATCGGCTGTTTGAACACTATTACGCAACCTTCCCGGACGTACTAAAGCTCGGACGAAGAAACGACAATCAGAAGTATTTTCTTTTCCAACTGCAAAATATACATGGATTTGTCGATTATCGGTGAAACAGGGTTTGATATCAAAATTTGACAGTCTAGCCAATTCAAGTTGGTAAGCCATAGCAGGTTCAATGTGGCGTATAGTTTGATCCTCTGTGAAATCATTTGCTTCACGAAATGTAAAATAACCAGGATATTGACCTTTACGGAACAAAACAATAGTTATGCGACGTATCGCATGTTCACGAAGTTCAAAGGAATAACGTTGAATAAGTGGTTGAATGCGTTGTTTCAATGATTCATCATCATCAGCATCATCACCACCTAACCTTAAAGCAATATTTAAAACATTATTGAAATGATTACTGTCCATTGAATCTTGGTTGTTTCCTTTGATCTCACTTAATTTTGGGAAAATATTTAATATTCCAGGCAAGTTTGTTTCAATTTCTTCATTAGAGGAACAAGAAACCATTGCACCGATACGAAGAGGCTCATTTTCTGGTGTACGTGGAACTAAATAACTTAAATCTGATATTGAACCAGAACGCCTCATATAAAACTGCGGATTTCTTGAATTTGGTGTAGTGGGAATTGCAAAATTGGTACTGTGTAATAAAAAATGCCATGAAACCATGAATGGAACTTGATCGGTATAATATTCAACGTCTACAACTTGATAGGCTCGATAGGCTCGACGAGCATACACTTCTAAAGCAGCAAGCCCTATCCAAGGATCATTATGATAAAAAAAATTTGGTAGAACATCAAAAACTGCAAATCTTGTATCAATTAATTCTTTCAGGGAATCATAACTCGGCATTCGATAATCGTAACCATCATCACCGTAATGTTTTTCAATAACTGCGGCTCTTAGTATTTGTTCCATTTGTGTATATCTTTCTTCGTATGAGGGCAGATGACATTGAATTAGTAATTCACGGGCCTTTAATGCAACTTTTGTTGTAAACCTCCCACCAAGTTCTGCCAATTTTTTAAGAACAGGAGAGAAAAATTTGTCAAGTGCTTGTCCAAGACTAGAAGGTTTGATCTGATCTAGAAGGTTAAGAACCAAATTATTTTTTGCTCCGACTTTTGAATGAGATAGAACTATTGAGATAACCTTATCCATATCATTTTTAAACTTATCACGTAGAGAAAGAATGACTTCTTCTTCACGTTTATCAGAGATGTCTGAAAACAAAACTTCAACTTCATGATATTTATTCAAAAAATATATTATTTCTGACCATTCGCGCACTTTCAAGCCAGAAACATAGCGATCAATGATATCATTTAATGGTGTGATTGTTGATCTGAAAATAGCAATATCATTATGCTTAACTGAATTAGCTATATAATTATCGATCATATTTTTTAATTGTTTTGCAGGAAAGTCAAATCCTTGGGAGTGGGTTTCATTTGATAATTGTTGTAGAGAGAGATCAAGTTTTGTAGGAATACGACCTGAAAGTGTTGACAATACTGAATGAAATTCCAGATAAGGTAGTTCGTGATCCCTTAACAATTCCATCAATTCCTTGACACTGGTATGAAGCATAGCTTGATTGTCATAACCGTCTAAAATACATTCAAGAACCTGTTTGACTTCACCATATAGTTGATGCACTTTACTGCCGGTCATTACAGGAGGATTCATAACGGGAAGTTGACCTTCAAAAGGTAACGCATGATGTACACGAGATGGATCATCAAGTGTTAAAATACCAATTATATCACCTGCGTCAAGTGAAGAACCAGGTTGTTTTATGAATTGTACAATGCCATCTTCTGTAGCAATTAAAGGCATATACATTTTCATAACCTACCGCAATATTTTAAAAATGTTAATTAAATAAATAATAGTAATAAAAATAAAAATAAAATAAAATCTTTTTACTTCAATTTCAGCATAAGCATCACCACCATTAACATGATCACCAGACTCCACAAGAAACCTGGCAAGTTTGCCGGTAGATGGTGATCTTAATTGAGTAGGATCATTTTCTTTTTCAAGTAAACAAGTTTTACTGTCGATCATTAATCTAGTACCGGTCACCTCCTCACGAAAATAACAAGTATGACTTTTTCCATCTAATAAAATCAAAAGTCCACCATCAGAAAGAGCACGAACTGATACTTGAGTTTTAGAACCGTTTAAATAAATTGCAAATGAGTTGGGAGCAGAGCGTGTGCAAGTGAATTTATAACGTACTTCTTGATAAATGAATTCAATGGTGAATAATGTTTTTAAAACGTTTTTGTTTGGAATTTGGCCTTTTTCCAAAAAACGCTTATATTCATTTATAGATTCTTGAGCATCTGTGTAGGCTTTAGTGACAGCGCCACATATGACAGCTAACATTTTATCGGGTCTTTCAGCGATGATATTTTCATCGGATATCAACATATCTAACCATCCGGTTGTAATGGTATTTTCTTCAAAAGCTTGAGTTTCAAGTAATTTGGTCAAGTATTCTACAGTTGTACGAAAATCTCCTCTAATTGAAAGTTCTTTTAAAGCAACCACCATATTTTTTCTAGATTGTTGTCTGTTTTCACCATAAGCAAAGATGTGACCGAATTGTGAATCAGCAAATTCATGAAGACCACCAGCAGAACCCACAGAAAAATAACCCCATACATTAGTACTACTTCTAAAATTAAGTTCCTGTACCATTCCACTACTTGGTTTAAAACCAGCATCAGGATTTTCAGCAGTGATTCTCACCGCAATGACATGGCCTTTTGGAGCAGGTTTTCGTTGAGTTTGAAGAGATTCAGGATTTGAAAAGTCAAAATCAATTTCCGAAGTACCATTTGGAGCAAGGCCGTATAGAACACGAATATCACGGATTTGATGCAAGGGAATACCCATAGCAATTTGTAGTTGAGCAGCAGGTAAATTTACACCGGAAACCATTTCAGTAGTCGGGTGTTCTACTTGTAATCTTGGATTTAATTCTAGGAAACAAAAAAAATTTTGTTCATGACTATACAGATATTCCACAGTTCCGGCACTAACATAACCGACCAGCTTGGCCAATTTTATAGCAGCTGTTTCCATAGCTTCAAAAGTTCCAGGTTTAGCAATAGTAACAGGGGCTTCTTCAATTATTTTTTGATGTCTTCTTTGAACAGAGCAATCTCTACCAAATAAAGATATTGCATTACCATATTGATCAGCAAGTATTTGAACTTCAAGATGTCTAGCATTTCCAGCCAATTTCATGATTAAAATGTGAGAACCGGGCACTTCAACTTGAACTTGAGAAAAGGCGTGTTTAAAATTTTCAGAGCTGTCAACTTTTCTTATACCTTTTCCACCACCACCTTCAGAAGCTTTTATCATAACAGGAAATCCGATGATATTTGCTTTATTTAAACCATCATCGGCATCTTTAACACAGGCCTCTTCGTAGACATTATCTGGAACAATCACATGACCATCATCATTTTTTTCAGTTCTAGTTATTCCACTTCCACTCCAAGCCATAGTAGGAACATCAGCAGATTGTGCGACTATTGTAGAAGAAATTTTATCACCTAGAGATCTCATGGCTGAACTAGGTGGACCAATAAAAACTATTTTATTTTTACTTGATGCAAGTGAATCAGGTAATCTAGGATTTTCAGAAGCATGTCCCCTAATAATGATTTTAATTGCGATTTAATTTGGTTTTTTTTTTTTTTTTAAAAATAATTAAAACGTATTAAAAAATTTAGTCACCACCCAGCCCACACAGCATGTACACCAGTTCTTTCAGCTATGTCGACAATTAAAGAAACATTAGCATAATTGTTATTGTTGGAGCCACCGGGAACCTCAATGTATTGATCAGCCATTCTAATATATTCGGCATTAATTTTCAAATCTTCAGGAGTAGCCATGACTGTGAATTGAATGGCACGTTCGTCACCAAAAGTTTCATAGGCCCATTTTCTGATTGATCGAATTTCTTTTACAGCAGCAATACCATTGTTGGCAATAAGAATTTTTGTAATAACAGTGTGACCATTATGTTTTTCAACAAAATCTCTAACGGGACCTCTAGGAGAACTTTGTAAATTATTACCACCTATCACTATATCAGGAGAAACTGTTAATGTTGGTATCATTATCAATTATTAATATTTTATCCAATTATCTATAGATCTGTCTAATTATTTATTTATTTTTGTATATAACAATTTATTAATTAATCAATAAAATCTATATATTTTTAATGATTGAAAATTAAGAGAGACAAATGAGAAAGTGAGTCAATTAAAAAGAAAAAAAAAAATGCAATAAAAAAATACAATGAATGATGAATAATAATATAATGAAAACTGGGTTAAATATAATTTTAAGAAATATTCGTGATCATTAATTAATTGATATATTTAATAATATTGTAAAAATAAAAAATGAAAAATTTAACCATTTTAAAAAAAAAAAAAAAAAATGAGATTTGATTACATTCTTTTTTTGAGATTCACAAGAAGTTCATACGAAAATATAAAATCTCCCCCAAAATTTGGACAGATTCGTGTAACGATCATGATTATTTATGCAACATCAAAAGTGAAAAATATAAATTGTATTGAAAATTTCCCAATATCCAGACTAAAATATTTACAAATAATGCAATAGATGGATGGATCGTAATTTTAGAAAAATATTAATTCTATTAAAATTTTTCTTCTACTTTTTCTTAGCATAAACACGATGACTTTTGGCAAACATTTTAACATTTGGATCTTCAGATTGAAGACGAAAATTGTCGATTGATTTTTTAAAATTTTGATCGCTAATTTTCAGTTTAGCTTGAATGATTCTTTGAAATGTTTCCCATGTAGCGATCACTGTTTCTAGTGTCTGAACAAATATAATAGTGTTTATATTAATAAAATGTCATCATGCAAATATTTTATTTATGTTAAGTTATTTATTTACCTTTTCACCACATTCTCCACCCCAAGAACCTACTTCAACCAATATTTCAAATCCATTGATTGATTCAAATTCTTTGGTATTTTCTAAAAGTTTTGGTAATTTCAATGCTAAATCTATTGTATGGCCGTTTGTGAAAAAAAAACCTCTAACTATAATCAAAAAATCGAATTATTATTATAATTATTTTTCTTTCGGAAAAATTTTAATTCAATTCAATTAAAAAAATATATTTCCTACTTACTAGCATTATGAAACCTTTTACCAATATCAATAAAAGAATTTACGTGAATTTCGTATTCACATAATTCCAAATAGCCTCCGGGTTTTAAAACTCTGGCCAACTCTTTTAATATACCCGGCCATTGTAATTCAGTGAATGCAGTTATCATATGACGTTGATGTATATAATCAAAAGTATTGTCGGGAAATGGTAAGCCCTCGAGTAAATTGGATTCAAGAAATGCAGCATTACTAGGTTTTTGATAATTGTTTGGTGTGAAAGAAATTGTTATATCAACACCAATAAATGTTGAATTTGGATACATTTTTGCCAATTCAAATATCCAAATTCCTGTACCACAACTATAAAGCGTATATTAAAATCAATCAATTAATATCAACAACTATATTATATCTAAAAATCATAATTTTGATCACTTTACCCGGCATCTAGAACTCTAGCAGCGCCATATTTTAATTTTCCTTCTACGGGGGCCGAGTGATAATTTCCCCACTTTTGTATGACGACTTCATGTAATAAATTTGACCTTGAGTTTTCAATATTATCGGTTGGGAAGAAATAAGGAGCATTATCTTTATTATGAAATATCCTTCCGTCTATTATACGGTGATCTTCTGTTATAGAAATCGGATAATGATAAATATTGGTCTGAAATGACGAAGATGGATATGAAGAAGAATGATTCGTTTCAACGTCAGAAATATTTATTTGATTTGATTTATTATTACATAATTTATTATTATGATCATTTACATTTGAGAGAATTGTATTCTTTGGACAAATATTTGAGCTATTTGAATTATTCCTTATTTTAAATTTTGAAGGTACTATTCCTAATTATTTCTAAATTTGTGCAATTTCAAATTTCTTTATAATCTTTGTGTAATATTTATTTTGGCGCCTAAGGAAATTTATTATTATATTCCAAGAATTTTTAAAGATAAATTAAAGTTTTTTTTTTTTGAAGGATTTAATGGATACTATAAATATTTAATATTTCCAACGTAATATTTTTTTAAATGCATTTGGTTTTAAACATTTTCATAGTTTAGGTTGCATAGATTTGTCATGAGCAGTTGAGACAACTTTTAACAAAAGTTGTATTGAATATTTACACATGACATGATAAAAAACCTACATGGGCAATCAAAAATATCCATGAACGAAATTAAAGTCGCATCATCATTGGGTTTTCGCCCATCGGTGTAATATTTAAGATAATAATATCATATTGACACTGTATTCGAAGGTCCTAAAATGGGTGGAAGAATGTTAGGAAAGACTTGATAGCATTCTCTGAAAATTATCTATATTATCGTTGTATGTAAATTTAAATCGTGCGAAATTGAAATCTATAATTAAATACGGGGGTGAAAAATTCGTTTCAATTGTTGATTCGTTCTTTCCGAACACAATAATTATAAATGTCTATTACTATTATCACGCCCTTTTCATACTCGGTACACTACAACTTCTAATGATTTAACAATAAGATTATTTAGCATTATTTTTTTTTTCTTTTTATCACTTTCAAAACTTCAAATTAAGACTTACAAAATCTGTACCCAAACTTGTCTTATCTAAAAGTCGTTCTACGTATCAATATGGATCAGCATGTATGTACTTCCAACTCGGTCATTAAATACAGCTCAAGCGCGTTTAATAATAATAATATATTACTATGCGTTTGCTATGTAAAAGTTGTCCTACATACCAACATTGACTTGCCCATGTTGTTTCAAACTCGGGCACTAAAGACAATTCGAATGCGTTTTAATTTTATGAAATGTATTTTTGTTAATTTTGACAAAGATAAATGTAGTTTATTCTATCAGTATTTAACCAATTACTTCACATTTTACCAATCAGATCACTGGTCAAAACATTATCAAAACTAAAAATTTCTACCAGTGGTAATTAGTTGTAGTAGAAATGTTAGTAATAGTTATTATATGCAATAATTTTTTAATTAAGATTTGTTGCATTTTTATTTTGAAAAAAAATCAATTAGTTTCATAATTAATTTAATCAATAATGAATTTGTATGAAACCAATTAATCATTGAAACTAATCCTATAATAGTTAGTACTAATACCAGTTTCATGGTGTTAAAACATACTAATACCTTTTTATTATAGTGGAAAAATTAGTAATATTTGGGGTGTTGGGTTGCATAATCCTTTGAATACGCCTGTATTTATTCATGTATTCATGTACAATAAAAAAAAATTTTTTTTAAATCATGCAGATCTTCTATGTTTTGGTATTAACAAACGTACAATCAACAGGAATATTAATAACAATAGAAGCATAAAAGATAATAAAATCATATTATCAAATTGGACAACAAATAATATTATATTTGGGGCGTCATGGATGTCTTTGTGACATTCACTATAATTTTCTTATTATTATTAAAGTATGGTTATAACTATTGAATGTTATTCTCGGGAACTAACGGCCCACACGGAAAGAAAAGGCTGTTATCTATCGTCCCAAACGGTCTAATTTTATCAGATACGGGAGTATTTTTTTATTTAAATTGTTTATTGTATTTTTTACTATGTCAAAATAACCAATAAAACATAACATTACGATGAAAAAAAAAATTAAATCATGCAGACTTTCACTTTAAAAATTAATATATACGTTAGGTAGGCCCGAACAATCTTAGGAGATGGCACCTTTCAATTTTTTTGATGATGGTCTATTACTATTATAATTAATATAAAAAATAACATACGGAATTTCCGTATGTTAAGTACGTTCTAAAAAACAAATCCGTAATTAACGTACGTGATGTGCAACTACCGAAATGGCCCTAGCACGGTTTTTTGTGTATAAAACATACGGGATAGATGCGGAGTTCATGACATACTGAAATGGTACGTTTTTGATTATAAACATACGTAATAAATGCGGGCGAGTGACTATGACACTTAAATGGTACGTTTTTGATTCCATGTATAGTATATAATAATACATTTTTATCAATGGTCGCCAAATTCGATTCATATCTTTAATATATATTGAATAATAATTATTTATAATATATATACTGTGTGTTGCAAAAAAAACGGAAAATTACTGTTGTCAAAAAACTTTTTATAATATTATTAAAAATTTATCAACTTGACTCAAATAAATTTTCAAACAAAGCTTGGCTTTTTAAAATCACTTTAAAACTGAATCTGTCAATTAGCTGTCGAGTAATTTGCTTTTAAAATTCACAATATGGTTGAATTTTACATCAGGAAAATAAATCTCATGTAAACCTACGTAGGGTTTAAAACTGATCAGCATTATGCGGAAATGTTAACAGAATTACCAAAATATCGACATAATGCTGGCCAATTCTGAACCCTACATAGGTTTATGTAAGATTTATTTTCCTGATGTACGCTCTCCCAAAATTAATTGGTGACACATGCATGTTTATTGTGCGATTAACCAAATTCGATTAATTAACATTCATGTACATCCATTTTCTTTGTGAGAGAAATCTTTGGCATAAATACATGCATCACTTATACATTATCTTTTTCTTCTTCCAGAAATCATCATTTGAAATACCTAATAAAACTGGAAGAGAAACATGAAACTGTTTAAAAAGCGCAGTATAAATATCTGTCACTTGATAGTGATTTATTCTTTTTTACATTCACATATTTAAACCAAAATATATATTAATTTTATAAAAAAAAATGGAACCATTTTTAGTTTCTTTTTTACCAGTTTCAGCTATTAAACATATTTACTGCATTTTATAAATGGGTAGAGTCTGGTGAATGGACAGGAGATTATGATAGAGAGGAGAAATTTTATTAAGGTGTTGAATCATTCGTTAAATATTATAGATGTAAATGATAATGAAAGATTAGAGAAGCTCCATAGGTTCAGAATTGGCAATGAATTAAATCAGCATGTAAGTTTCTAAAATTTATGAGATTATTAGGATAAATCAGATATGATGAAATAATTGGTTTTCTTGTGGGAGTATGATGAAATACACATCTGAGAGGATATAATAAAATATAATGTTACGTATTTCATAACTTCCTATCACCTAGGTAGATAACACATAGGGTGGTACTGGGTAGTGAATGGACCTCGCCTTGTACTATTAATAAATAGTGTAGGACGTGGGCAGTAGCTACTCATGTACGTAAAAACACCATATGTGGATTCTACTAAGGTTATATCTTATTAATAGTCGGCTATTCTTGAAATTTGTATGAAAAAAGAAAACCAATCTGATCTCGCGTATATGTAATTAGACATCAAAAAATTAATTTACATTCAGCTAATCAATTTTTCAATATCTGCTTTACAGTTAGTGGTAAAGCTCCGAACAAGCCAAGCCGGCTCGAGCTAAGAAATAATAGGCCCAAGATTTTCGAGCCAAGTTGAGTCGAGCTCGAGCTGAGCTCGAGTTTGACGTTACATAAAAATTTTTTAAGTAGCGAATCATTAATCCTAATACTTTAACTCATTTAAGAACCTGTTTTCTTGAATTCAGCTCGAACTTGAAAATTCAAGTTTTAACTCGAGTCTGCTCAACTTATTCAAATAAACACAATAAAACGAATAAAACGAATAAAACAGAACAAAACGAATAAAAACGAACAAAAGGAACAAAAGGAACAAAACGAATTAAATGAATAAAAACAAATAAAAACGAACAAAACGAACGTAAGGAAAAAAACGAACAAAAGAATAAAACGAGTAAAAACGAACAAAACGAACAAAACGAATAAAACGAGTAAAAACGAACAAACGGACAAAATGGACAAAACAAACAAAACGAATAAAATGAGTAAAAACGAACAAAAGGAACAAAACGAATAAAACAAATAAAAACGAATAAAATGAATAAAAATGAATAAAATGAATAAAAACTAATAAAATGAATAATAATAAAACAAACGG